TTCCCTCAATATCATGTCCCCTGCCACAGACACGGGCGCGCCCCTGCCGGGTCGTGTTAGTTTCAATCCATCCATCCGCTGGCCGCTGTTGAGTGGACATGCAATATCCATAGGCTGGACAAGTGTACAGGATCAGTGTACAGAAAAGTCGGTAAATGTGGGTGTGGGACGAGTAAAGTGAGAAAGCCGGCAGACAGGGGGGAAGCCTCTGGCTCTAAGACAAGTATTCTGCGTACCAAAAACGGGGAGCACTCTTCCTTTGCCGGGTGGGGGCATACTATCGGTGGGCCGACCCAAAGATGACCGAGCCGTCATCATGACAAGGTGCTTGACCACTCTGAGAATCGTCATCAGGTTAAATCCTCGGCCTTTTCAGTCTATAATGAGATTTAACCTTCCGGCGTCAATCTGTCGGCTGGTCTTGGCGATCGTCAGCTGTGTCGGAGAGTAAATCCGATCCGACGGCGCTGCCGGGCCGGGTTTGGAGGGAGGCGTCAAGCGGTCGCTTGGGATATTCCAAAACAGAGCCGCCCGTGAGTTGCCTGTGCCAAACAATTTCCTTCCCCCTCTGCAATTTTTTCTTCGCTTGAAGCAAATGAAAAGTTACATGGATTAATCAGAAGAAAAAAAAACATCCTTGGTATTTATGTAAATCTGTCGCCACCTTGATGTGCAAGAATTTTCAACAATCTTCTGATCAAAAGATCTTCAACACAAAAAGATGGAAGATCCAGTACAAGAAAAACTACACATGAAGGTCTCTGAAACTTGATCAGCTTGTAACTAAAAAAACAAAACACTAGCCAAAATGGACCCATATAACACTGATTGAGATAGTGCATCAAATTCTCCAGAATTTGAATAGAACAAGACCAACCCAAGCCATCCTCAGGAAGTATAACATTGGGTCTTCGAATAGTCCAACATCATCAATTGCATGAGAATTCATCATCTGGGCAAATGTCAATGGCTATGTGTAGAAATCCAGATACGTAGGCTCAGATAGTTGTAGGATGGAAGTTGACAATTTATTTGCTTAAAATAGTTTGGCAATCCACTGTGTAGGTGGATCGGGGTTTGACATTGGCCAAATCTTTTTTTTTGGGGGGGGGGGGAGAAACTGGCTCAAATATTTGGTTGATTTGTAATTGGCATCTTGCAATGGGGCATTGGCGTTACTCCAGACAGACCGTCAGGCAAGCAAAAGTAGATTGACTTGCAGAATTCATGGGAGCTCCATACTTGAGATTCAAAGCTCATATGTTGATGTGATTATTCTGTTTTCCTCCAGGAAGCTCATCATGATGTTGCAGCAATGTACATAAACAAGAAAAAAATTCAAGAAAAAAGATAAAATGTTTCAAGCATTCAATACACTCTACACAAAAATAAAATCTATTATAGAAATGGTCTGTTCATTGTTGTGTGCTGTCCAATCTGTTCCTCATTTTGACCGTCAGTGAGGCTTGGTTATTGCGATCGAAAGTTATCGTCACGGACGCATTCTTCAATAAATCGGTTCCCCACTTTGCTGAGGGGGCCACATTCCACCTTTACACCGGCCTTCGCACCATGGGCTATCAGATAATCAACTTCATCAGGACTGAATTTGCCCTTTTGGTAGATCAACAGTGATTTCAAGTGGATCCAGATTGGCTCATCATGATCCATCAAGTCTTTGATGTCTGCAGGCAAATAGGCAATCGACTCCCAGATAGTAAGTTTCAGGCTGATACTGGTGATGTTGCAGCACTGTCGAAATAAGTGTAGAAATTCGGGGGGATACAAGTTAAAGACAGACAACCTCTTCAATTTCGGAAGGCGAAAGGTGTATTTGAGATCGGAGTCGGGTAGGATGTGCCATCCATCTATATCGTCAAGACTGATAGGGGCACAGTAAAGTGAGAGGTTAACCAGACTGTTTTCGAAGAGTTCACAGAATGCGTGGACGGAATGAAGAGAAATCCTGTGGCAATTGAATAGGATGATTTCTTCGAGTGCCCCTTTCCACTTAATTTTACTCCAGCCTGAATCAAAGCAATTCACACGATCAAAATCGATAACCTTGAGCGATGGTAGTGTAGCTAGATGAACGGCCAGTGGTGACAGAGTGGGTTGAATGGATTCGGAACACTCGCAGAAATCACATCTTGGAAAGGAGGCTGCAACACCCCTGTGGATGCAAATATGGACTAGATGTACCATCCTTTGGATTAATTTAACTAAGGACTCCTCTTTAAGATCGCTGTATGTGTTGTTATTTAGCTTGATGTAGGTCAAGTTGGAAAGATGCGAGATCGGCGACAAGAGCTTTGACATCTGATTTGAAGGGTCGATGATAAAGTTACCAGATTCATCCAATGAATTTGAGTCGAGGTGCACAGTGAGCTTGGTCAAATTTGGACACATCTTCAAAATCTCGCGTAATTGTCCTTCAGGATATTGGTCACTTCCGTCGATTGCGATGGAATTGGTTGCTCGTTTAAAATTGAGGTCGTACTCATCGCCGGGATGAAATCCGATCATGATTGAGCGCACATGTTTGGCTTGACGAGGAAGAACATGTTGGATGAGTTCTTCAAGGTGAGGGATTCCGAGATACATTAGATCGAGCTCCTAAATCAAGAAGGATGAATCAAACAGATGATGTTCAGAACCCACAGGTCTGCAGCAAAAAAGCCACAGAGGATATCGCGTATGTACATAACCAAACTGGAAGGAAGGAAAACGAAAGGTGGAAAGTGGGATAAGATAGAAGAAATCGGTACGTACATTCCAATTCAATCGACTGCAAAGTTCATAAAAGGTGTGATCTACGAAGGCAAGTTTCAGGAATTGGGGGAGTACAGTGTACCTTCTCTTCTGCGTCAAAAGTGCAACACAGTCGACGATAAGTTTTTTGATTTCGGTTGGAAGTCGGGATAGCGAGGGTTTCATGGAGCTTGTTAGAAGACGCATACTGTTTAATGTCACAATCTTTTTCGGTCTATTGGAAACAACTCAATTTCTCCCTCACCCCATCGGTTTAAGTATCCGGGAAGAGAGACTCTTAAGACGAGTAGAGTTGATGGACTTTCCAGAGAAATGTGTAAGTAAAGGGTTTTCGCCACTAAGCCCCATTGAGTGTTTTGCCTTCGGAGTCACTGATTTTGCTCATAGTAGAACTCAACAAGCTGCATCGACATGTTCTTAATCGTGCTTCCCTTTCAATTGACGTGTTCCAGTCAAAGACAGGGCAGTTCCTTTGTTCAGATTCAGCGAGCAGAAAACCAAAGTTGAGTATGTATAGAGCTTCGTCAATGTCCACTGCGGTTGTTGTCTCCTGAGGCTTCTGAGATTGGCGAGGAAGATGACCTATTGCCTCAGTCTTTTGATGAAATTTATTAACAGAAAAACATTAAGCCCCGTAGAGCACATCCGAGTTGTTTGATTGTCAGTTGTGAGACTTGTTGGTCAGTCCCATTGTATTGCGCGGATGAACTTGACCAGGAGAGACAACCCATCGGCTCAGATGGCTAAATAACCTGTAGCCTTTATCAAGCAGACTTGAGTCACGTCCACTCCCAAGATCAGAGCCAAAGAGCACCCTAACTTAACAACAAGTCCCTCGATCGGAGGGCCTGTACCAGGCTGGCGCAAGCGCCCCTCGCGAAGCGAGCCTCCGAAGGAGGGACTTGCGCATAATGTCGGGGTGGTGGCTTGGAAGCTGGGGGTGGTTAGTAGGGAAAAAGTTTGCCCACACCATTTCGCCTACTTCCTGACGGAAATATGTTCATCCGTTTGGACTAGGGAAATGGCCTGCGTCGCCTCTAATTTTATGCCTCAGCCCCAAAGCTAGGAGCCATCTAGTCTTGGCCCCACATGCCTTCAAAGAAGGTCATTTTGCTATGAGGATGATGAAGGTCCTCAGGTTCCTTCGTCAAAATTCTCGAGTATTCTGTACTCATGCGCCTGTACACACTTATGGACTTTCTCTCTCTGTATATGTGACAGACAATCTGTACGGATTACCTATCAATATGACATGCCCTTCTGTCATAATGAAGGTGAAACATCGGTGATAATGAAGCCTAAAAATTGGGACCCGACCGGGTCGATGGCTTCTAAGGATGCCCACGTGGTGTCGATGAAACTAACATCGACGGTTATAGGCTAAGATGAAAGCTAAGATGGACCCAAACTGGTCGTTTGCGGTACTATCCAACCACCATGAGTTTGAAGCTAATGGTTGAAGGATAATACCGCCCCGACGGCTTTATTGATGTCAGATAATCGGACTGGAGGCAGGAGCCCCCAGACCGATTATCTGACCTTTAGTTGTTGAGTCAATGTCGCAAAGTAACACTTGCCGACTTATCCCGACCGAGGTGATTCTGATGTAAGGCTTGGCCGGGGATAGGCATAAGGGTTTTGGGAAGATGTGAGACCATCATCTTGGAAGATAGCACTTCCCGCATCGGATGCCTTTAAACACCATTATGAAATTAATGACACACCAACCCGGTTGGCGTCCGAGCTGATGAGGCCTACTCTCCAGGTCTCAAGCTAACACTGAGACATCCCGGTGAGCTTCGGACCGGCTCAAGATGACCGGTCGGGATGGTCCGCCTTTAAACTACTTGATTAAATTAGTGACACACCATCCTCAAGCTCGCTGATGTGTTCTACTGGTCTCAAGCTAATACTGAGACATCCGGTGAGCATCGGACTGGCACCAGATGACCGGTTGTGATAGTCCGTGGCCTCTAGATGGTCTTTGGAATCCTTATAAATGTAGCCCTTAGCCTGGCATTTTGTTTCCCGATCATCTGACTGATTATCTCCTCAGGATATTAATTGGCTTGGAACCAGACACACAGGAAATCTTTGCCATCTATACCTGCTTTCTTTCTTCATTATAAACATGGAATCTCCTGCTGAAACGCAAAAGGTCCTTACATGCTGTAAATTGCTTAACTCAACGCCGGCTAAAATCACCCCCAAGCGGTTCCTGCAAATCTTCCTCGACTCGGGTAGCTCGGAGATTGCATACTTGCGTCGCCTTTGGGCCCAGCCAAGGGGCATTAGTTCCACCATGGACCTAGTGCATCTCCTGCGTCGAGAGATCCTCAGCACCCCCGAAGGGAGCAAGGAGTGGACGGCCTTTATTCAAGAGGAGGTCAGATATAGATGTTGTTCTCGCGTGAATTTGACCAATGACTCATTCCCAGGTGATTGAACTCACAGGCCATCCAGATTCTTGTCTCGCAGGAGGCGCCTAGAGGGAATTATCCCAACGGGTCTTTTCACAGCTCATTGACCGTCAAGGGGTCGTTCTTCGATTCGCGGGAGCAACTCATTCAACAGTCGCTCATGACTGAGGAGCACATGCCCTTCCTGTATGGGCTCATCAATGGGATGCTCCGAGCCCGTGTGGTTGCTCAGGCGCATGTGGGTGGTGAAGACGAAGCCGAAGATGAGTCGTTGGATGATGATCAACTTTCCACACCGCAAGGATTTGGTGAAGTTAGATACTACCAAGGCCTCTCGGGTGTGGAGAGAGTTCATGCTCGGTTTGCAAGGGTATGTCCGCTACCTCCATTGTTGCATTCCTATCGTGTTATAGACTGACGTGTCTCATTGCAGATCGCCTCGACGGTCTGTTCAATGGTAGCATTTGCTCATAACCGCAGGCACAATGCGTTGCAGTTGAACAATGCCGTCCGCTTCACTGCCTGCGGTGTCTCCGAGCGGGTACATGATTATCTTCATTACCTCGGTTTATGTTCTTCCCGAAGGACCGCGATGAGCGCCTTGAAGACACTGTCTATAGAGGGTCAAGAAGCGATCAAGGAGGTAATGTCTATCCAGGCAAACATCCCCATCGCACCGACCATCTGCATTGACAATATCGACATGGAGCAAGGAGTCCACAACTTATCTGTCGGTAACAGGTCCAAGACCTTCCGGGGAACATGGGGTTATGTTCATGTTCCCAATATCTCATTGATCCGTTCGCTCAATCCAGAGGAGCTCACCTTGGCCGCATATCGCGAATCTTTAATCAAGGCCAAGTCGTTCTCGATCGAGCCAAAGCATTTCTTGCCCAGCCACGAGGCAGCCCTTAGCGAAATGCGAGTGTGGAAGAGTCAGATTGCTAAGGTGCTCATGGATCATATTGCAGTCCCTTCGGTCAAATGCACCTCCATACCCACAGAGCCCCCCGCTATTGAAGTCATTAGCAATGAGAAACCAACCATACACATGCTCAAGCTGATGGATGTCTCTGACAACTCAGCGGAGAGCATTGGGCAAGTGTTCTCGACCCTGCTTCTTCAATCGGGACTGACCGCCGAGGAATTTTATGGCCGCCTCCAGCCAATGGATGGCGACTTGGGTACCGTTCAGAACTTCAATAGTCTGAGATCCCAGCGGACCCCCAGCCCTTACGGGAAGGAGAGCCTGAACAACATCGTGTTTCAGCTTGGGGCATCTCATACGCTGTGGAATGTGGCATCGACGATTTTCAGTCACCATTTTGGTGATTCATCCGACCAGTCCAATGTTGGCGCTTGGCAGTTTTTGGAGGCCTTGGGTTTCCCATCTGAAAAGGCCATCCAGAAGAAGGATTTTACTTTGATGATCAATCAAATGGAAAGAATTTTGGAGGCCACTTTGTACTATTGTTTGCGGTCAGTCCTACTAATACATTCTCTTATCTCATTCTTGTCGGACACCCCAGCTGATGTGTCTCACATCCGTCAGTGTGGTCATGAAGACCCAGTATCAAGAGGCAGGAGAGAAGCGGATCACTATCTCATCGGAGCAATGGAACACTATTGTAGACACTTGTTATAAGCGATTCTGTTCCCCTGAAGCCCGCTCTGCAGCAGATCTAGTCTCCAACCCAAAGCTGAGCAACACAATGATCATGTTGCACGACTTCTCATCCGTTGTAGAAGCCAAGAGGGCCATGCAGGCAGGTGATATCGGCCGACTCATGATGGTGTGGAAGAAATGGTGCATCATGACGCAGGGGCTAAAGGGACTTACCAACTACTCATCTTATCTCCCTCGTATGGTCCTACTACTCACCGAGATCCTGCCCCCAGGCCTTTCAAAGTTCCTGAAACACAACTTGTTATTCTCACCAACGGGCCGAAAGGGGCATTTTGTAGCCAAGGATAATTACCTAGAATGCCAGAATTATTGGTTAAAGTATGTTTACAACAACACCGGTAATGGGACCAAGATCGATCGCCTTCAAGACCTCTTTTCAGTCAACATCATCTTGGTCAGTTGCCTATTTCCATTAACCCATTGACACATCTGACAATTATTAGCATAAGATGACTTATGCTGTTCGACTTATTCACTCAGTTACAGAAGATGTTTGAGTCGCTCAAAGTCGACTGTGGGGCCAAGGTAGTATATCAATCCCACAAGAACACTCTTGATCAACGATCTCTGGCCATGTTCATGCAGATGGGGAACAACCATGATATTTTGAACATCAATCCAAATCCGCCATCCTCACCAATCCCGCGAGTCCCTAACACGTACCTCACTGGCTTTGCAAAGTTCAAGAAGACAATCCGGACAAACGACCCGCAGCTGAATAAATTCCGCAAACATCTTGTGCCAAAGTGTGAAGGCAGATCAGTACAGGAAGCAGGGGCTGAGGACAGTGAACAAGATGATAATAGCTCCGTAGACATGTAGATAGACAACAACCAGAGAAAAAGAAGGCATGTAGTCGTAATAGTTATCTAATAGTTATCTATCCTAAAGATCCGCATGTCATATGTTGTTGCTAGCTGGTTGTCCATCTCTTGTCTCACTCCTATCCTTGGATTGCTGTAAACCCTCCCTGAGAAACCGAGCCACCTGTTCCTTCCGTTTCTGTTCCGAGATCAACCAAAGTTCGTTTTGGGCCTTCCGCTCGAGTGATCTCCTCCGGCTGGCCTCTGCTGCAAGGGCCCTCTTTGTAGGTGGTCGATTGACCACCTGACTTGAACTCTGCATGGGGGTAGACGAAGACGGAGCCGCAGTTGAACCGGACGGAGAAATATCGACTCCAAGGGATGGTCTTGGCTTCTTTGGAGGGACCGATCGCATCTCGTCGATCACATCGGACTTGAAGGTAGATACCCGATCGAATAGCCAGTCCAGCTGGCCATCAAAACATTCGCCACCAATAAGACCTCGGATGTCGTTTGGTTTGTTGATGTGATGCATATAAGAGACAATTCCCTCTGCCTCTTCATCACCAAAGATGTTAACCGCCGGTAAGACTGAGGAGCCAACCTGGGCGATGTAGTATTCGTGCAAGTCCGCGATGAGGCGGGCTTTGAACGCATCAAAAACTGGTCGATCACAGTCCGGTATCTTCCTCTTCCTGAGCTGAGCCTGCTTTGTTGGGTATTTGGCACTGATATCGCGAGCCTCGGTAGTCACAAATTGATCGGTAATGATACTGTCGAAGTTGCTCTTGTTCGCAAAGACCAGGTTGTCTAATAAATTGGCGGCCTCGGTGCTAGCACAGTTTGAACAAGCACAAGGGCTCATCCCAGCTTCGATTTCTCGCTTCCACTCTCGCACGTAAGCAGGGTCGTCCACTGATACAGGGATGTATCCAAGTCTGACAGAATAAACAACATCACCGCCAGTTGGTTAGCCCCCTGAAGCGACCTCAACACCATGACCAACCCGACTTACAAGTTATCCATTGAAAAGGCAATGCGGAGGCACACCGGGGTAATGGCCAACGCGTCCATTCTATCAGGGTCCGACTGGTAAGCAGCGGGAGTGAACTGATCGACTGTGTTCTTCCCGTTCCGGCGATTCTTTTCGACAAACATGACAGCAAGCCCTGGTCGACCATCTCGCCCACATCGCCCAATCATCTGGCAAATTGAAGCCGGATCACCTCGGCCCATGTGAACCACCATCCGAACTCGTTTCCAGTTTTGACCTAGCCCAAGCGCCATCGTGCAAGAAATCAACGGAAATTTACCGGACGCAAAATCTTCAACACAATCAACCTTATCCTGCTCGCCGGTGCAGGAATGAAAGCGACGAATACACGAGCTGGGAGGATCAAACGCCGCACCGGGGGTCTCTCTAGCCAAATCGATCACATCCATGGCCGTCAGTGTCCGATTCCTCGAGCTACTATAGATCAGTGTCGGTACCAAATCTTCATCGGAAACATCCTTCGACGAGGGGAACAATTTCACCAAATCTAGTGTCGAAGCCAGAGAATGGTCCATGGTAACTCGAATGATGCGAATTTCGGGACGGGTGAGCTCCCCACGCAAAATCTCGAGGTTGTCATCGTTAAGCTTGAGGCTCTTCATTATCCCCTCCACAGCGACCGGTCGACAAGTGGCAGAGAGTAACAAGACTGGCTTGTTGTTCCGGAAAAGCAAGTGGGGCCCAAGCTTTCCGTAACACGGCCTGAACAAGGCATAGTCCTCGATCCGCAGGTGCACTGAATTGATCGTTTTCGAAGTCGAGCTTTCGACCAGGCCCCATATGTACACCATATGGGCCTCGTCGATAACAATCAATGCGAGCCGGTTCTGAAATTTGGTGCTGAAGTAAACTTCATCGAATGATTTGCTGTTGAGGAAGATTTCAGGACTTAAGTATATAAAATTATAGTCGCCATTCATTATCGAGTCGGCTGTCTTCTTGTTGAAATTCATCTTTGTCAAGTTGATCGCAGTAAAACCGGCCTTCTCTTTCTCAAGTACCTGGTTATCACCCAAAGAGTCGAGGGGGTTTAAAACCAGGATGACCGCCCGTTTCAATTTAGGGATCATCTTGAAGTACATCTCAGAAATTCGCGACTTCCCGAAACCCGTGCCAGCCAAGAGAAAAGTGTTGCGGCCTCGGGCTAGATTGAAGACCGTATCAACCTGCAATGGTTTGGGCTCCTGCTGGTAAGTATCCATCGATGATTGCTTGATGAACTCCTTCAGCTTCTCGTCAGTCTTTTCGTTGATTTTCTTGTATAGATTGACTCCCGTAGGTGTGCGTACACGCTTGGCCATGGCTAACTGATGCATTCTGAGAACTAGATTATTTATGAATTTATCTTTGAAGTTTGATAGAGTCGCACTTTGGAGGATGAAGGAGGATGGAGCTGATACTATCTTTACAAACTCGTTCCTTTTGACCAACTACTAACAGCCAAACATCACATCACATACAACAGTAATAACGTACAGCTATGTGGAACTAAAGACACCTGTATGGAATGAACAACAGTTGCCACATGCCAACTGTAATGGGCATACTATGCCTTTTACCACCTCTCATGCAATAAGCCCATTTCTTGGTCGAATGAAGACCTCAAATTTCTATCCAAAGGATGGATGAATGTTAGCCAATAAAACAAAAATAAAAATATATGGAAAGCAAGGTCTTATGCTCACCTATGGGACACAGTTTGCCGCTACCGTTTTGGATGAATGCCCTTGGAGTAATGGGCATTTTAGAGTAAGATGCCGTAAAAAAGCCACAAAATGTACCAGCTTCCGGGCTGAACTTTTGACTTGACTCATAAGCCCCTCTTTCAGAGGCTCGCTTCGCGAGTTGCCTCCGGCCCTCTGTCGAGGGGATTTGTTAAGCTAGAAGAGCACCCCGCGCCTCTGATCGAGGGACATGGTCATGGCCAAGTTCAAGTGTGACACAGTGACAGGGGCTGGCAAGACCTTGCGCAAGTGTCCCCCATTGCACCCAGGAGTCACTCAGTTATAAAGGTTGGCAAGACCTGTGACTGCAGGCGCAAGCACTCTTCGCAAATCAAGCCTTTTTCCAGCGCAAATTTAACATAACAGATGTCCCCTTGGAAGCCAAGTTCTAAGGGTGTAACCCGGGGCTCGGGACAGGGCATGAGGCTCATCCCGAACCCCAGACCCTGAAAATGCCCCGGTGCACCCTGAAGCCCCGGGGCATGACTTTTTTTTCTGAGAGCCGAATAATCAGCCTCCAGACAGCTCCAGACCTAAGGCTGGGCCCCAGGTGATACCCGAGGCCTCTGGAACCTCCCGCGCTGATGCCCTGCGGGTATACCCGAGGTCGGGTATCCAATCTCCTAGTCCCGCGAGGTATCCGACGGTTATCGGGTACCTCCCGCGGGGACCGACTGCCAGATTGCCTAGGGCTGATTTTTTTTTTTGGTGATTTTTCATCAAAAAATTTAGCTTTCCTCCCGAGTAGGTTGCCTGCAACCTTGATTCCAATTTTTACCTATGATTTGAACGTTGGAGCTGGCATATTTAATTACAATCTCACTTCAGCGACATGTGGTGTATTGCAACCCAAGTCTCAGCGGTCCATTGTCACAAACATTTTTGGTTTGCAATCAACAGCAAACGACCGTGAGAGCTTCTAGCATGGCCTGGCCATGGCCCTCCTGCCTCTTCTCAATTTTTTTTTCTTCATTTCCGCTTCCGAATACCGCTGGAGGTGAAAGGTCGGTCTCCGACCCTTTCCAAGACTCCGCCCAAGTCCATTCCCGAAGATATCCGATTGGGTAAAAATCCCACAAAATCCTCCCGCGTTCCGACAAACCGGGTCGGATAGTCGGGTATACCCGACTGAGTCGGGGTCGGGGCCCACCCTTATCCAGACCCATTTCTCTGGGTTGCTCAGTCCGTCATGTATAAATGAGTTCAGCACAATACATACAAAAAATGACATCAGAGTCATGTGCACTGAACTTGTGATGGAGCTTCAGACATAACGTCCCTGATTTCAAAGTCTTCATTGCTATATTTGAGTTTTATTATTCCTTTCCTTCAAGTTCAAGCTTTTTTTTCCTCTTTTCCGGCTAGCATTTTAAGCTTTCTCCTTCATATGGGAGCATCCAAACATGTACCCAAAATAAATCTGAAAATGAGTGAAGAAAGTATAAAAATGAACCAAAAACAAGAGAAACAGAAAAAAAAATACACTCTTATAGGTGAGTATATCCTTGACAAGAAAAAAACAAATCCATCTGGTTTTGGTGCCTACCCTTTTGAATTTTTGGGACATTTTAGTTACCTGCATTTACAGGAGGTTTGCTGGATCTTACATATCTGACCATAATTCTGAATTCCTTTTGATCCTGTTCTTCTGACATGATCAAGTACATGCATCCTTACAGGAATTCTGATGTTGACCAAGCTAATCATATCAGTCACATTTGTCCCTGCTGTGTTTGTGGATAATTGGCAACTATTTAGGTCAGAAGATCAAAACATGCAAGGTAAATTAACAGTGATCATCTGGACTATATTTTTTGATCTGAAATATGACCAAATTGATGTATACAAGAAGCTTTGAAGTTGTTCACTATCTTGTCTGAAATCCAAACTACATATTGCTGTATGGTTGAATGCTTTTATTTTGATACCCGTGATTGTAATATGTAGGCCTGATCACTGACAGTGACAAGGGGAAGTGAACATTTGAAGTTTTTTTTTTATTCTTGTTCTGAAGAAATCTACACACAAATATAAATTATGTAGCAGGTTCTGAACAATGATCACTCTTCAAGATTGTTTTTTGGTAAGAACATTTCATAAAGTGGACTACATAGTGGAGGACTTCCTGAACAGTGGATATTTTAAGACCTCCCCCAGAATTGATTGAGAGCCTTGCAAATGCTAGATGGTAGACTTCCCATATGAAAAATTTGGAATTGATGATCTGGGTCTAAGTATAACTACTTCTGTACTGTCTGGAGTCATAATTAAGGGTGAAACCCAGCAGCCCAGGTTGGGTAATAGCTGAACTAACATCTCAACCCAGTATATCCAAACCCAGTGTTGGGTATGCTGGGTCTGTTTAAAACACAATGCTCTGCAGGGGACATCAGAGGTCACCAGTTCAGACTTAACACAATTGCCCATGTGTCAACCTTAGAGACACTATAGTGTGTCCAAAAGGTTTCAAAACCAGTATTCAAAATACATTGTAATAGTGGGATGATTAACTCAAAGAAAATGTACATAATAAATGATTTGGAATGTCACAGTTTTAGTGAAATGATAACTCAGAAACATAATTTGACAGGAGTGTTTGAAACACTAACTATGTAAGTGAAGTAAGCGACATGTAAATCAGAACCAATACAAATAGAAACTATGTTCATGTATGATTGCAATGCTGGATTATAGAGTTCACATGAAAATAGATGTCCAGCTTGGATATAAAAACTACCTCATGTTGGATTGAATCCTTCTCCCTCTCTGAAGAATCCATCAAAATATCAAATATTATTATTTTCTAAAGTCTCATTCAAAAACAGTAGTCAAACTTGAGTTAATAAAACTCAGCAATGGTATTTATATACCCTTCAGGTCTTTACTCAGGGTCCGCCTTTTTACACTCCAAGAAAACCCCCCGCGCACACCCAAAAAGGTGTGCACTCCAAGGTTTCTTGGAGTGCACACCAAAATGAGCCAAACAGGATGTTTTTGGAGTACATGGCTGTGCACTCCAGGATTCTTGGAGTGCATAGCCATGTACTCCAAGATGTTACTCCCCAGGTATTTATAGGGGTGCAAAACCTGCGTGCAGAGAGCTTCACTCCAAATTATTTAGAGTGCACAGAGCTTCACTCCAAACTATTTGGAGTGCACAGAGCTTTGCTCCGAAAATTTGGAGTGTTTTCCAGGACACTGTGGCTGACATTGGTGGAAGATGATGGTTGTCAGGATCCCTTGGGTTGATCAAGTTGATAGATTGGACAATTGATGCTGTTGATAGTGGGACGGTGGTGCAGGTGGTTGAGATGGTTGTGGTGTAGTTAGGCTGATGGATCTTCCTCAATCCTTAGACAGGCTGATGGGTCTGTGGTGATGATCTCAGCAAAGGCCTTGTTGAGACTGATTGGACTTGGCGTGATCTGAGTAGAAGGTTCTTCCTGGATTGTTTCAGCAGTGGTGGTGGTAGTCATGATGTTTGTTTTTCCTCTCTATGACAATGACTTGTTGTTCATGGTGCTGATGTTGGAGATGATGCAGATGAGAGGGAGGAGGGTGGTCTTGGGGGATCCGGAAGTAGTCATCCATCTGGTTCATGAATCTCTGGAGTTGTAGAGCCAGTCTGATCAAGGGTTGGGTGAAGGATTGGTCGTGTGCTTTCAGCTTGTCCCACTTGATCAGACCGCGATGTAAGGCCAAGCTGTTGGCTTGGAACTGGGTCATTGTTTGGTCATGTTTGAATAGCGTGTTGAGGAGAAGGTTGAAGGTCAAGATCTGATCTACTTTGATCAATGGATGATGGATGCAAGGATCAATGGATGCAAGTGATGGTGATGATGGTGGTTGGTTGAGGGGATATGTCCGTCTGATATGTATGTAGGATATCTTGCAGATGATGGAGTGCCTGGCTGTGTACTCCAAAGTTGTTGGAGTGGCCACCAGTGCACTCCACATAGAACTGCTCAAAAATAGAGATTGGAGTCCATGGGATCCAGCTCCAAAATTCCTGGAGTGCACCATGGTGTACAACAGGGAATTTGGAGTGCACACCCACACACACCTTTTTGGCGTGCGGGGGGTTTTTCTTGGTGTGCAAAAAGGTGGACCCTTTATTTATCCAAGAATTTTATTAAATTTGGACTAGTATTCCTAAATTAGATATGGTTGAGATTGAATGTCTGATGACCTTTCCTTCTTGCTAAAATACTGAAAGCCCCTAGTTTATCAATTCAGTGTCTCTACACTATCATCAGACTCATTAGAGAATCAATAGTATTTTGCTGAAATAGCATCTATAACAAATGATAATGATGCAAATCAAAAATCAAAAGAATTAATAAAGCTTGGTTTGATGTTAATAACCCAATTGAGTCTCTTTTGACCAATGAAAAATCATCACAATCACATCTAATACTATCTGGTTGCATCCTATTCCTTCCTTTAGGAGTAGAGGCCTGGATGTTTTTTGTGCCAGCTTAACCATAATCTGTTTAGAGAATATTAGAATTCAAACAAGTTAAGTAAAAGAAACAAATTTGTATCCTTCTTCTCATCTTTTGTATTTAGTTCTTATCTTTACCATAGTAATAGATTTATTACAACCCTCAATCATGTCCAGCTAGACCCCTATGGGAGATCAACAGCTGAAACCATGGTGGGAAATCACACCTGCCTCACACCAGCTTTGGAGTGATAGTATGTAAGCCTCTCTCAGCTGGTGAGACTGGGCTGCAGCTGGGGTGGAGATTGAGAATGGACCACCAATTTAATTTTTGAAATCATGAGTCAAATGATCCAGGCACAGTTTGGACAGCTGGAAAGCTTAGAGTCCAGGCATACCATGAACTCCAGTTGCCTATTTTGCTTGATCTCTCTTTTCACAACCCTGTCCAGACTGTGCCCATTCTCCTCCACCCTGTAGCTGCCGCCCAGACCTGCCCACATGGCACTCTCACCACGCGAGGCTTATAAGTTAAGCTTGTTGCCAGTTTGACTCTGACTCAAGGACAGGGGGATCATGCCCCAGCCTTCTACATGAATATGTGCGGATCTGATTGGATACCCGGTGCCTGTCGGGTCAACTTGAAGCCCTCTATGTAGTCAACATGGTTCGGGTTGCAAATTAAGATTATCCATAAATCTGGGCGGATTTTGATTCTGGTCGATCTGGACAGTTTTCAGTATTGATTATGTATACAGTGCGATATCCATCTTGATTGTGTTGGTTATGTAAGCAGCCCCAGACTGTGTGTATATGAATATGTATGTCTGTATGTGGTGTGGTGTGATGTGATGTTGTATTGTGAGAGTGTGTTGTTATGTTGTATTGTGTTAATGTGGGTGTGTGAAGCTGATCAACTTCTTCGATCACCTTCCTCCTCCTTCTTCGCCTTCTTCGCCTCCATGAACTGACCAACCCAACAGAACCCAGCCCAACTCAACTCAAACAGAACCATACAATACATATTTACAACAACCGAATACCTGAGTGGATATTCACACCCTCCCTTTTATTTATTCTGCCGGAACATCCAACTTGTTTAACTGCCTCTTGACCACAACCACTGTCCTTTTCTCTTCTACTATCAAAACCCTCCTCCTCCTCCTCCTCATCATCATCATCATCTACTTGTTGTTTCTAGTGTGACACCGGTTGTCGCTCGTTGTTGACCACTCTGACCACCAGTTGACCAGTTGACCACCACTTTACTACTTACTACTACTTACTACTACTTACTGCTTCACTCACTCACTCACTCACTCACTCTATCTGATCGATCGATCGATCATCACCTTCACACTCATTGTCAAATTCCCTATAAACTAATATCAATCAACTTCCTTCGTTTGCAAACACAAAAAACCAAAAAACCAAAAAACCAAAAAAACAGTTCCATCTTCTTGATGAATATCGATAATCAAAGCTACTCAAACCACTTCACAACAACAACAGCGACAACGACCGACTCAATCAACTCACCAGCCTCACCAAGCCCATCGATCACCTCACTCTCATCCTCATCCTTCCAAACCTCACCAGTCCATCACTCCAACCTGGCGCTCATCCACCCATCAACAAACTCACTAGGCCTCACTCTCCATCTCCTCACCACCTTTCGATCCAACCACCTCATCAACCCGATCTCAACAACAGCAACA